AAAAAAAAAAAAAAAAAGAAATTGGGTTAATGGAAGATTTAAACTAAATTGAAGCATATTGTGTTTTAAAGCTTCAAGTTCTGATTAAGAATCTGATTTTATCACAGGTATTTGTGGTTGGGTGCCATTCCTTCAGTATTGCTGGGTCTACCATCTCACCCTCAAGTAAACCTATAAAATTATTAAAAAGAATCCTAGGCCTAGAATTTTTTTTTTTTTTTTTTGAGTTGGAGTCTCACTCCGTTGCCCAAGCTGGAGTGCAGTGGCACACTCATGGCCACCAGCATCTGCCTGCTAGGCTCCGACGAGCCTTCCACCTCAGCCTTCCAAGTAGCTGGAACTACAGGCATGCGCTACCACATCCAACTAATTAATTTTTTTACTGTAGAGATGAGGTCTCGCCAAGTTGCCCAGGCTGGTCTCAAACCTGCAGGGTTCAGGCAATCCACTCACCTCAGCCTCCCAAAGTGCTGGAATTACAGGCTGAGCCATTGAGCCCAGCCTAGAATTTTTTTAAGTCAACAATTCTGTAATAATCTTGTGACCTCTTCCATATTATCTATGGTGGTGGTTTTATAGGCATGATCAGAAATTTTATCTTTTTTTAGTATAACTGCAAAATTGATTATATACTGAAGAAAAAAGTTTTATGCCTTCTATGCATGCCAACATAATGCTATTTTATCTAAAGAAGCTTTAAGTCACATGTTGAAGATTTTTTTTTTTTTTTGGACACAGGGTCTCACTGTTGCTCAGGTTGGAGTGCAGTGACATTATCATGGCTCACTGCAGCCTCAAACTCCTGGGCTCGAGTGATTCTGTCTTGGCCTCCCAAAGTGCAGAACTGCGATATTTAATTCTATTTGCTTATAGCTTGATTTAAGTATACGCTGAGCTTTTAAACAATGGACTTAATAATTTACATTAATAACTGATACTTTTTTAAGTTAGTGAATGATGAAAGTAGCTTATATTGGGCAACCCTGTCGGGATTCCCTCCTACTGTGGGAACTTTTCTGTCTTCTCAATAAATCCCACTTTCTAAAAAAAAAAGAAAGTAGCTTATAAATTTATTATTGAAATCTGAGTTGTTTTTATGGTTAAGTGTGACACATGATCTTTTTTTCTTCTCTTACAGAAGTCCAGAAGTCTAAAGATCTTTGTTCCATAACTGTAGGTGGAGAGGAGCTCCCTAATATGCCTCCTGAAATGCAGCTTAAGGTGATCTGAAACTTTCCTAAGTTACCTCCAGCTGAAGTCTTTTCTCGGTTTTGCTTTGTTTTGTTTTAAAGACAGCATTAATAACACTGATTTTTCTTGGCATTGCAGGTCCTACATTCAGCTCTGTTCACATTTGATTTGATTGAAAGTGTTCTCGCTCGAGTAGAAGAACTCATTGAAATAAAAACAAAGTCCACCTCTGAAGAAAACACTGAGATAAAGTGAAGTTTCCACTTGCTAAAGAAAAACAAAGATGCTGTATTTTGCTAGGATTTATTTAATACCTTTATAAAAATTTTTCTGTAAAAACTTACTGCTAGAAAAATAAATGTAGTTTTTCTCATTTATCAATTTCTTTGGTGAGACATTGTGAATTAGTAGTATTCTTTGGTTTTAAAAAGTTACCCACAGGTAAATAATGCCCATATATACCAGGGATGCCAAAAAATGCAAAAACATTTTAAGAGATGTTATCTGTGTATTACTTTTCGAAGTTGAATTGAATTACAGTAGCAATGTATAGTATGATGTTCACTCAAAAGATGGTGTTAGTCAAACGAATGCTTGCATCACAATGTATCAGGCAGTACAGTCAAGGAAAATGACGAAAGCACGATTGTCATTCAAGGAGCGCAAGACCATTTTGAAGTGGTATTTGCAATTCAAGAATGTCGTGGAAGAACGACGACGACGGAGGCCTGAGTATGCAACAGGACTTCCAAAACACCAAGCAACTGCACGCATTCGTGATATGCTGGAGACGCATGGTACTGTGTGTGATATGCCCATGGGAAGATCTGGGACGCCTCACACAGCTACAAGTCCTGCAGTAGTTCACTGTAATCAGAAGTGTCTGCACGCTGATGGTAACCACTTTGAGTCCCTCTTGTAATTGCAGAAGTCAAGCCTGACTTGTGTTCATCTTTTGTGACCAGTATATATTATTAAAACTTTAATACAGTATTTTTCTTAAGATGTATATACATTTTGTTGGCACCCTCTGTATATTCTAAATACTACTTTTGAAAATACAACACAAACTAATACTTTTATAATTTCATAAAATGTAGTTGAGTTGTCTACATTCATACAGTTGAAGTGAGTTTATAAGATGCACTTCTGCTGCAGTTAGGTGTTGTGTAGCATTTTAGAACTCCTAGAATCAAGTTGATATCACACCACTGTAAGAGAGTAGTAAGAAGTTCTGAATTCAGGCCAGTTGACTGCTTCTCTTAGCTTCCCTCTTTCTCTGCCACAGGTGGAGATTTAGAGACCAAAGTCCCATCACTACCTCTCCAGCAGAAGGTGTAATGTGAAAACATCTGCAAGAATTAATTTTAGAAGTACTATGGAAAATTTAAAACTTCCCCTGTGGAAAACTTAAAGCATATATATAACTTTTCCTTTAGTCTAAGAAGCTAATTTGAAAATTATGTATTTTTATTTTCTACTAAATATTCATCTAACTCATTAAGAAACTGCATCTGAGTTTTACAATATATGTATGTGTCAGTTCTTTTAATACCAGTATTAAAGAACTCATGCTACAAACTTCCTAAAATAAAATTACTTTGAATTGTATGCATGTTTTATTTTAAATTAGTGTAAACATCTCAAAGTAAATATACATTTGAGCACTGTAATTTAACAAGTCTGATTATTTTAACATTCTTCCAAAAGAACATTAACTCGATACTCTAATCTGGGTTAAGTAAATCATCATTCAGTTTTATCTTTTGAAGTGTTTTCCAAACAGGACTTTGCTCAGTGATATAAGCTTTAGTTGTCATCATTCTGTAGCAGATGCTATCTTTGTATGGTTTGGAGGCAGTCTACAAGATAAAAATATACAGCATTACGTATAGAAATAAGGTATTTTTACAAGGTCACATAAAAAAATAACTTTCCTTCAGCAAATATCTCTTGATTACCTATGTGCTAAGTATTATGTATGAGCTATTAGAGTAATAGGAATTTCAAGCATGCACGCCAAAAAAGTGGAATACTGTTAAGAATTGCTTTAATGGGGATATGTTTCAAGTTTTAAAATAAGGAACACCGAACTCTGCCAAGGGGGATGAAGGGGGATGGGGGTGTCTGGGCATGCTTCACAGAGGAGGACAAGCATGAAAGAGTGAACAGTGGGTGGAGCGCATTCCATAAGATAGTACAGCCGTCCTTTGACAGTTCACGACTGCAGTCTGACCAATGTTTATACTTCAGAATCTGGAGAAGATTTAAGTAACCAATAGGACCAGCCAGGTGCTCCTAGGCCCCAAATGAGTCCCAAATGGTAGTGGCTGCTGGAAGTTAATGGAGGAGACTGGAGGCTTGAGGAAGAGAGCTGCGTACTAGACAGCAACTGCTCTGAGAGCAACAGAAGCAGAGTATTTGCCAATCCTGCCCAACGGGTAGCAATTTGAAGTTAAAAATCTAAAATACAGAAATATGGGTGTAAGTATGTATCATTTTCCCCAGGCGACTCACCTTCGCTATAGTGCACATAAGATTAATAGCATTGGCTGTGTTGTGTACTGGAAGTATTCGTAAGTTACTACCTAGGAATCTGGAAAACAAATCATAAATTATATAGGTAATACAACTTACTGACATTGTTCTCTTAAGTAGGCAGAAAGAAGAGACAAATCTCTATTGTTTATCTGTTGATGCATTCATGCCCTGCCTTACTCCCCAGAGGATCTGAAGGGGCATAGTAATAGCCAAAACTTAACTGACTAAAAAGTGTTCCCTTTTGGTTTGGGCTTGCAGGGAAGCCCACGTATCAGCATGAACTCTGAAATCTGCCACCCCCACTCACAGATAGCTACTTGGCCTGTGTTTCATTAAATATGAGAGGTTAACATCATGTTTATCATGTAGCAAAACAAGACTCACTTGCCTAAAAGAATTAAGAACTGAAATAAACACAGTATTAAAAAAATAAGCCTGTTGTGCTATTCTTCCATACCTTTGCTGAATCTTGAACATCAATTTCCATTCTTCAGGTCCATGGAGGGCAGCAGACAGAACCAAAAAACTATTCTGGTGAATGTTAATAAACTTTGTAATTTTGGCTAGAAATATTTCTTCAGCTGACAAAAGGCATTCTTTAGCATCCATCAATAAAAATGCAACTCCTAGGAATGTAATATAAAATATCACTCTGTCTTATAGATCAAATTTTGTTGTAAACTCAACAAAAACAGCTATGTTATATAAGTGTCCGGACTTAAACACATAAAGAGTAGAAATTAACAGAATTCCTACTCAACAAATGACTTAGGTAATTCTTTGGAGAGCTCTGTATAAAAGAATGACTTGTTCTGGCCAGGCTTGGTGGCTTAGCCTGTAGCCCAAACACTTTGGGAGGCCAAGGCAAGTGGATTGCCTGAGCCTGTGGGTTCAAGACCAGCCCGGGCAACTTAGAAAAACCTCATCTCTACAATAAATCAAAAATTAGCCGGCACGTCTGTAGTTCTGGCTACTTGGAAGGCTGAGGTGGAAGGATGGCTGGAGCCCAGCAGATCAACGCTGGGGTGGCTGGAAGCATACCACTGCACTCCAGCCTGAGTGATGGAGTGAGACTCCAACTCAAAAAAGAAAAAGAAAAAGAAAAAAAAGAATTACTTGCTCTAAATAAGAGTAGTAACTTTTTTTTTCAGACTAAGACTGAAACTCTTTCAGTTAAAAAATTATATTTATATATAAGCTGCTTGGAAGGCTGAGGCGGAAGCATCACCTAAGCCCAGAAGGTCGAGGCTGTGGTGGCAGTGAGCATGCCACAGCACTCCAGCCTGGGCGACAAAGTGAGACTCCGTCTCAAAAATAAAATAAAATAAATTAACCCACTCAGTGACTAGCTATTCGGGATCTCAGAAACAATGCCAGGCCCAGAAGGATGGTCCTACAGGGAAACCTGATTTAATTTTAGCTCTCCAAAAGATGTGGGAAATAAATAATCTGAGGAAAGTGACATATGATATACTAATTGAGTGAACTTGGGCAACTTATATAACCTCCCTGAGTATAAGTTTCTTTATCTGAAACATGGGAATAATAATTCTTTGTTTGGTTTGTCAAAGGGATTAAATAAGATAATGCATATAAAGTAGCCAGGCAAATGCTCACCAAAAATATTGTACTTTTCTTCCTGGAGGACTCTCTAGGCAGAAGAATGAGTTTGACCCTGGACCACTTTCAGCCTGGAAGTCCACCATGGGAGTTCTGAAAGCGCTTGTCTCCTAAAACCTCTGCTAGATTACAGGTCTCTCCGCAACCCTCCTGATAAAATTATGTATTTCCATCTTCTTTTTTAAAATCACTTCTGTCATTTTTCAAGCACAGGTGGAGTTGCCTTCTTCCCATCTCCCCAACCTTCTCTTATTTTAATGTAATTCCCTCCCATACTTTATCCATGACTCACAGCTGGATAGTTTTATCATTTAAAGAACATTTATTTGCCCCATATAATTCTTTGTTATTAATATTTAGCTATATTCAGCAAATGCTCATACAAAATCATGAAAAACATTCTCCTGTATTGTTTTTTGTATTTGAGTTTTGACAGATGTGATGCTGGCCTCTGTTAATACAGGTAATACTTTAAGTACTGATTGTTAGGAAAGTGGCTTTTTCTATTTTAAACTCAGTTCCAAAGCAAATCATTTTTTCCATCCTCTACCAGAACCCACTGGTTCAACTTTATTTTAACAATTGTAACCTAAAAAGGAATATATCTTGGAACTGGCCATATTCACTGCTTTTGCAACAGTGCCCAAGTTTTATACATTTACCTCTCCCAACAGATCATACCTTAAGTTTATTACATGGTTCCTGACCTATGAAATTATTATAACTTATACTCACATATTTTATAAGAAACTTAAATCAAGGCAGTTAACAAATATACTATACCAGAAAGAGAAAAGATAATTGATCCATTTTCCACCGAATCTGAATACCGAACCTTGTGGCTCTGATTTTCGAGGACAGTCGCAACTTCATAACTCTTTAAAAAAAAGTTTCAGAAATACAAATTTAAGACATGCTAATGAAGAAACTGAAAGAAAATTAATAGCTTATTTTATAACCACCACTATAGTTTCAAAACAGAAACTAAATATGCTTTTTAAGAAGAAAAAAACTTTAACTTCGAAAAAAAGAGCAAGATACTTAGTTCTATTAAAACACTTATTGTGAGTTTGGAAATGAGTTGCATGCTACGATTATGTTATTCAGGGACAGAATTAAGGAACGTTAAAAAACTAAAAACTAGAGCAAGTTCAAACTTTTTTTTAAAAGAGATGGAGACTTGCTATGTTGCCCAGGCTGGTCTTGAACTCCTGGGCTCAAGCAATCCTCCCACCTCAGCCTAAGAAAGTGCTATGATTACACACGAGTCACCACACCTAGCCTAATCTTCTTTGTATTTTTTTTTTTTAATTTTTTTGAGTCAGAGTCTCACTCTGATGTGCAGGCTATAGTGCTGTGGCACACTCATAGCCATCACAGCCTCAACCTGCTGGGCTCAGGCGATCCTTCTGCCTCAGCCTTCCAAGTAGCTAGAACTACAGGCACATGCTACCACACCTGGCTCATTTTTTGATTTATTGTAGATAAGAGGTCTCACCAAGTTGTTTAGGCTGGTCTCGAACCCCTAAGCTTAGGCAATCCTCTCGCCTCGGCCTCCCAAAGTGTTGGGATTACAGGCTTGAGCCTGGACGCTAATCTTCTTTTTAAAAAACAACTTGAGATGGATTCTGACAAGCATTAATATATAACTATGGAAAATGGGTAGTGGGCAGTGTGTTTCTTAAACAGTTGACAGAACCATGAAGTGTCAGACACGTACAATACCACCTAGGAGACAACCAATTCTCCAATTAATCAGTTTACATTAGTTTAGTATACTTTTAGGTAAGTCAGAAAATAAGTATGACAACAGTAATAAGATTTTTGGCTTCAAGACTAACTATTCCAAAAATCAACTCATTTCCTGTTCCACCCAAGCCATAAAATCACATTACCCAAGATACTACAATCTAAGTGGTTAATAGTGTTTCCTGACTGGTGAAAATTCAAATTTGTTACCTAGATAGATGATGATGGATGGATGGATGGACAGATAGATGGATAGGATGAATAGACAGATGAAAATCTGCCTAAGATTTATATTTTGCCTCAGAACATGTATATTTTAACATAGGCTGGAACTGTACATAAAATATATGCTTCCTTTCTTTCCTAAAAAGAGTATTTTGTGTCACTCAGACAGATCCTGACCTAGAGTTCAACTATGGCTCTTTTCTTCTGCTGCTTTAAAATTATACAAAGATTCTAGCAATGGCAGATTAAGTAATTTAGGCCAACCCTCCCGCTGAAAGCAACTAGAAAAGTTGGACAGTCTTTTAAAATCTGCGTGAATGCATCACAGAGCTAGCAGGATAGTAAAAAATTATAAGGCCAAGATCTATAGAGAAATTCAAAGATATGAACCAGCATCCAGGCCACTTTTTTCCCGAAGGGCATCTGCCAGTTCAGGAAGAGGCAGAATAGAGGCTGAATACGGCTTCTGACAAAAGTAGAACAGCTCTCATAGGGACTATGGCCCAGCTCCAAACCATTTCAACTCCTGAAATTGTATTAAGGTGATTTTGAACACTAACTAGTGCTCCCAAGTACCGTACAGAAGCACTCCCTACAACAACCTTTCTCAATCAGGTCTCCTCATCTGACTTATAGAATAAAGAAAATGATTTGAGTGATGATTTTCTCAATTCTTCCATAACAAACCTCATTCTAGCAGGAGATAATTCATCATATACAACAGATGCCTTGGGAGTTAGGTTGCCAAATTTGAATTTGGCAAATAAAAATAAAGAACATTCAGTTAAATGTAAATGGCAGATAATAATGTGATTTTTACGTAAATATGTCCATGCACTATTTGGGACATGCTTATGGTAAATTCATTGTTTATCTGAAATTCACATTTAACTGAAAGTCCTGTATTTTATCTGGCAACCCTACTTAGGGCTGTAAAGGGTTTAATCTTCTTACAGAATTAAAGCTCCCCAGAGAAATATAACACTATTCTAGGTTTCAAATTATTTCTACAATTTTTCAAATACAAATTCCAACACACAATCGAAAGTAATCAGATGTACAAAGGGACAGATTACATGAAGGAGAATGATCATAAACAATAAACAACACAACAGGCCCATCAACAAGAGAAACAGAGTCATGTAGTGAAGCTATCAGATACATAGCTAAGTTTTAGGGTCAAGGAGATGAAAGATAAGATGGAAAATATTGGCAAATAACCAGAAAGTATGTGTAAAAATGTAAAAGATGTGAAAGAATCAAGAAAGCTTCCTGAAGTTTGAGTCAAATATTTAAAATGAAAAGCAGTGCATTAAGCAGGCAAGTGAAGGAAGAAGACAAATGTGAGAAGAGCATGAACAGAAAGAATAACAGGCAAAGGCACTCAGACCTAGGAGTACAGTTCTTATGTGATGAGTATGTCAGCTCTGCAAGAGTCAGTTAGCATGGTACAGTGTTAGGAATAACTGCTGGCAGGTGATGAGAACCCAAGTATGTCATGCTAGTCAATTTCAATCATATTTCATTAGGAGGAAACAACTAAATGAATAATAATAAAATAAAAGAATGATAATCTTAAAAACTGAAGATAAAATGAGCCAAGTTTTGAACTGAGAAAAAAATAGGTAAGCTCAAGAGCTGATTCATCAAAATAACCAGGAAGTTAAGACTAGCTTTCTCAAAATATGTTGCATGGACTACTAGTCCTATGAGATATTAAAAGATGTTCCTTATTCAAATAAGATTGAGAAATGCTGAATCTTATTTTATCTCTTTTTGGGGATTTACAATAGATTTGGGCATAGTAAGATCTCTGAAGAGTAGCACAGTAAGAAAAAACTTGTTTGTTTATATGCAGCATTTCAAATAAAATACATACAATACTCCTTTCCTGCAAATGTAACATCTATTAATAGTATTTAAAACTAGTATTATGTCTAGCCCATCTACTCATAAAAAAGACAATATCACTAAAAGCAGAAATGAAAAAGAGCATTTAATATCTGATACCATTTATTAGAAAATTGAAAGAATGTCACAGAAATGTCAATTTCATAAAGTTCAATTTAATAAGCTTAAAATTCTCTAAAAAAGGGTGACTATAAAAATATTATTCATGAAAACAGACTCATCACAAATTACAAAACCTAATAGAGCAAAAACCATAAAAATTCCTTTTCTACATTTCTTAAAAGATTACCAACAGACAACTTAATAGAAAAGCTCCCTGATACCTTAAAGTACAAGTAAATTCCAAACTATATAAACTGCACAAGCACAAAAAACTAAAGAAAAAGAAAGAAGGTAAAAGAAAATCTACTTTTACACAAAAACAGCATCAAAAGAGAAATATCATAGACCAATCTTCAGTAAATAATGATGAAAAACGAAAATATTTGCAAACCAAATTTCAAAAAATAAGAAAAATCTACAGTGACCAATTAATTTTTTTTAATCAATATTTTTTATTATGATATTGTGGGGTACAGTTAAGGGTTAGGTATACAAATATGCTTCATTCAGGCCCCCTTGTTGATAAGAGGTGTCTCCCAGACAGATGTTTACTATCATTAGTCCCATCCCTTCCCCCCACCATAGTTTCCCACCACTGTCAGTCATTTTCTTATGGTCATCAATTAATTTTAATAAAGAAAGGCACAGATCAGTAATTTAGGTTCTTCTCAACAGATAATAAAAAACATGCATCTGTACAATAATTTCTGTTTAAGACAAAAGAAACCTCATCACCTAGGCTTATACAAATATTAACATAATACAGGTTATTTTATAGCAGCAGGCAATAGCATATAAAACAAAATACTGAAAATATTACCATTAAAATTAGAAACATTGTTTTGGATGCTCTGGTCACATCAAAATGTTACAAAATAAAAATAAGACACAGCTGTCAGAAACTGTCATTAATTACAAATTATGATTGCCTACCTTGAAAGAACAATTGAATCAACTGATAATGTATTATGAAAATTCAGTGAAGTGATTAAATATAAAATAAATTATCACAAACTGAAAGTTTCCCTATATATAAACTGAAAATATAGGGGGTATCATATTAAACAATATCAGCAAAAATGAAAGGAGGGATCCTGAGAAACTTCAAATAAACTTAGTTCACATTTTGTCTCAGAACAACCATTTTTGCTTATACTGGCATGCTTTGAATCTAGCACAGGTTAGACATAGATAAATTTCTAATAGGCAGGTTTTAAGAAGCATTCAGACATTTTAAAAATTACATTTTACTACAGACCAAGCTAGCAGTCTACCCCATCCCTTCAGCAAATCAAAGGAAAACTCCATCAGATGCAAGACAAGGACACTCCAACCTTTCAATTCATAGTTTAGCATAATAATCTAAGATCCCTTAGCTGGCCAAAGCCATAGAAATGATAGTAAGACCACCTTCTTGCTAAGGAGCTTGTGGATTGGAAATGTCTGACAGGTCTCTTGCAGAAAAAAATCCCTCTCCTGGTCTCCTCCCATCTAGCTCACTACCATGGCAGCAATCATGTGACTAACACACCCATCTGTCCGCTGCCCATCACCTGACATCAGTACCTGCGCTTACCTGCCCTTTCGTGATGGCGTGGAGCAGACCGCCAGCCAATCACCTTAATAACCTTCCCTCATCAAAGGGAAGAATTAAAAGGACTCAACCATGAGCAACCAGGGCCATTGCCTTGATAAACTATGGTGTGGTCATGTGCTCTTTGAGCTATGGCCAGGCCATGTTTCCTGGCTTTGGTCCTCTCCCCTACCTTGGGGAAGTGAATCTCCTCTTTCTCTCTCTCCCTCTAATTTACCTTCTAAATAAGCTGCATTTTCCAATCTAACTTCTGTGCGATTCTTTACATCTTTCTCACGGCACCAGATGGCACACCAGAAATCCACATCCCCAGTGGGTCTAACCTAGCATTCTGGAGGCCCCTGCTGGGAATACGATTCAACAAAATATATCAACTATCTAAGTACTTAATAAAAAATAAAAACAATTTGGAAACACAGCATAACTGAAATAAAGAATGCCTTTGATAAGTGCATTAGGCTAGACAGGGCAGAGGAAAAAAATCTTTTGAGCTTGAGGATATGTCAGCAGAAACCTCCAAAACTGTACAAGCAAAGAGAACAAAGACTGAAAACAACAGAACAAAATTTCTAAAAACTGTAGAACAACCACAAAAGGTGTTAATATATGCTTAATGGGAATACCAGAAGGAGAAGAGAATAAGGAACAGAAGAAATATTTAAAGTAATAATGACAGAACTTCCCCAAATTAATGTCAGAAAACAAGCCACAGATCAGAAAGCTCAGAGAACACCAAGTAGGATAAATGTTAAACTGACCCTAACCCACAAAAAACTGTATTTAGGCATACTATACTCAAACTGTAGAAAATCAACAATAAAGAAAAATATCTTGAAAGAAGCTGGGGGAAGGAACCACGTTACCCATAAGAGAAGAAAAGATAATTACATCTGACTTCTCAGAAACCACGCAAGCAAGAAGTGAAGTGAAATATTTAAATTGTTGAGAAGAAACACCACTAATCTAGAATGATGTATCCCAAAAAATTATCCTTTGAAATTTCACTTTCAAATTCACTTGAGAAATAGACTTTCTCAGACAAGCAAAAATTGAGGGAAACTGTTGCTAGAAGATCTGCTTTGCAAGAAAGTTTAATAGTTCTTTAGAGAAAAGTAAAGCAATATAGGCCAGAAACTTGGATCTACATAAAGGAAGAGCATCAGAGAGAGAATAAGTGAAGATAAAGCAGAAACTTATTTTTCTTATTCTTAGCAGATAACAATTTGTTCAAAATATAAAAGCAACAATGCATTCAATGATGTATGTTTATGTATCTTACATATGTGTATGTATAAGGTACACGTGTACACACAAGTACACAGTCAACCCTTTGTATTCGTGGTTTCTGTATCTGAGGATTCAACTGCAGATCAAAAATATTTGGAAGCTAAACAATAAAAAATAACAATACAATACAAATTAATACAAATAAAAAACAATACAGTATAACAACTGCTTATACAGCATTTGCATTGTATTAAATATAAGTGACCAGCCAGGCGCAGTGGCTCACACTTATAATCCTAGCACTTTGGGAGGCCGAGGTGAGAGAAGTGCCTGAGCCCATGGGTTTGAGACTTGGCAAGACCTCATCTCTACAATAAATAAAAACATTAGCCAGGTGTGGTGGAATGTGTCTGTAGTTCCAGCTACTTGGAAGGCTGGGACGGAAAGATCACCAGCCCAGAGGGTAGAGGCTGCGGTGGTCATGAGCATGCCACTGCACTCCAGCCTGGGCAACAGAATGAGACTCCAACTCAAAAAAATAAAAAATAAAATAAGTGTCCTAGGATTGATTAAATATTTATATATGGGAGGATATGTATAGGTTGTATGCAAATACTGACCATTAAACTAACTGCTGTCTTGTCAACAGCAACAATGGACCAGAATCCAGTTATATGAGATCGTCAAAATGCTGAGAGAACAGCTGCACATCCAGTGAAAAATATCTTTTAATTCACAGCAACTGAAATTCTGATACATTGCTAATGGGAATATAAAACTATAATCTCCACATTTATTTTAATCTATTTTAGTTACACAGTCAAATGGATTTGATGTTCACTTCTAGTAAATGTTAGAAAACAGTTTGGCAGTTTCTTATAAAGATATATGTACACTTGCCATATGACCCAGAAATTCCATTCCTAGGTAGTTACAAGAGAAATGAAAATGTATGCCTACACAGAGACTTATATGTGAATGGTCAGAGCAGCTTAATTCATAATAGTCAAAAACTGGAAACAACCCAAATATCCATCTACCAGTGAATGGATACATTGGGATATATTCATATAATGGACGACTAATTAGCAAAAACATGCAACAACACGGATGAATCACAAAAGTATTATACTCAATGAAAGAAGCCAGACACAAAAAAGTACAAATTGTATAATTGTTTATGTAAAGTACTGGAACAGGAAAAACTATAGTGATAAAAATCAGCTCAATAATTGCCTGAGTTGGTAGGGGATGGGAAGAGGTTGACTACAAAAGGGCATGAAGGAACTTTCTAGGGTAATTAGATTGTTCTGTATTTTCACTGTGGTGATGGTTACCCAGGTATATACATTTGTCAAAACTCACCAAATGTGTATTTAAGATATGTACATTTTATTGTATATAAGTTATAGCTCAATTAAACTGATTTTGAAACCATTTTTCAAGATCGGAGAAAAATAAAAATTTTGATACTAACAAAAACTGAGAGTTATCTCTAGAAGATCCTCAGTGAAGTAACCTCAAAATTATTATTTGTATGAAGTTAAGGGGTACAAATGCAATTTTGTTACATGGATATATTATGTAGTAGTGAAGCTTTTAGCGTATCCATCACCCAAATAACATACACCGTACCCATTAAGAAATTTCTCATCACCCACCCCCTCCCAACCCCCAACCAATGCAAGTCTCCAGTGTCTATCAGTCCACACTCTATGATCATGAGTACACATTATTTAGCTCCCATTTATAAGTGAGAACAGGTGGTATTTATCTTTCTGTTTCTGAGTTATTTCACTTAAGATAATAACCTCCAGTTCCACCTATGTTGCTGCATAAGACATGATTTCTTTTTTTGTGTGGGGGGGGTCGGAGTCTCTGTTGCCCAGGCTAGAGTGCAGTGGCATACTCATGGCCACCGCGGCCTCGACCTGCTGGGCTTAGGTGATCCTTCTGCCTCAGCCTTCCAAGTAGCTGGAACTCTAGGCATGCACTAACATGCCTGGCTTATTTTTTTATTTATTGTAGAGACGAAGTCTGACCAAGTTGCCCAGGCTGGTTCCAAATCCCTTAGCTCAAGCAATCCCCTCACCTCGGCTTCCCAAAGTGCTGGAATTACAGGCTTCAGTCACCACACCTGGCATGAATTCATTTTTTTTATTGCTGAATAGTATTTCATTTTGTGTGTGTGTATCATATTTTCTTTTCTTTTTGAGAAAGCAGTTTATTAAAAATACAGAAAAGCTCCCAAGTGGGAAGGGACCCGAGAGAGGGTTTCCCCACATTTTCTTTATCCTATCATCCACTGATGAACATTTAGATTGATTTCATATCTTTGCTTGTGAATAGGGCTGCAATAACCAAATAAATGCAAGTATATTTTTGATATAATGACTTCTTTTCCTTTGGGTAGATACCCAGTAGTGAGATTGCTGTATTCTTCAGATAAAAAGAAAGTGATCTAAAACGGAAGGTCTGAGTCTTAGGAAAGAAGAAAAAAGAAAGTAGCAAAGGCATAAGTAAAGCTAAAAAGACGTTAATTTAGAAAATAATAATAATACTTTGTGGAGTTCAAAAATGAAGTTAAAATATATAACAGGATATAAAATAGAAAAAGGTGCTGGAAATTAAAGTATTCTAAGATTCTTTGTTGTTTCACAGGAAGCTAAAGATGATTATTTACTTTGGCTTTTGTGGAGCTAAGTATACTGCAGGGGGTGGGGGAGATTGGTTCCAGGTTCTCCCCATGTATACCTAATTTCAAGTATACTTAAGTTCCACAATGGCCCTGCAGAGCCCATATACACGAAAAGTCAGCCTTCCTTATACGTGGGTTTCCCACGTATACTGGATTTTCCATCAGCTTTGGTAGAAAAAAATCCTGCATATAAGTGAACCCATGTAGTTCACACCTGTGTTGTTTAAGGGTACATGTTAGAATTTCTAGGATAACTACTAAAAGGGAGAAATAGAGCATATAACTTCAAAGCTAGTAGAGGGGAAAAAAAAGAAATGAGAAAAAATAACCAGTCAATACAAAAAGGCAAGGAAAAAAAGAAAAGAAAGAAACATTCAAAAGACAAGACAAATTGAAAGCAAAAAACAAGATGGGTAAACAATAAATAAATGGACTATAAGTAGTCGCTCTTAGCAAGTTAGCATGGATTGCTGACTCCCTCTCTCAAAATCAGTCTGGAAAAGCTATAGAAACAAGAGAGGAATGTGAATTCCCAAAACCTAACAAAAAGAAGCATGAAAACTCTCAGTGAGGCTTGAGGGTGTGTTAAACCAGTAAGTGTTGTGGAGCTAAGAAGGCTGAAGCCAACAGGGCAAAGTATAGCCTGAAACAGCAGTGAGAAGACAGAGTAGAGACGAAAATCCTATTTTAAGTCTTATTCTTGCCTCTTTCATTCTTACTCAGGAACAATAATTTCTTGTCCCTTTGTTCCAGACGTTAGCTGGTGTCCATAAGATAAATATCAGGGCAATGGAGAAGTCCCATAGGCTGGGGGAATTACTGTGGGCTGACCAACTGCCCTTAGGCATTTAACTTTCCATTTCTCCCAGTTCAAACTACAGGAAGACAGCCTCCTCCCAATGCTGCCAGTTCAGTTCCTGGATGTTTATCTCTCCAAAAAAACCTTAAATAATATTTATATGCATATACTTTACTGCTCTGGAATCCCTTAACATCTCTATTAGAGTAGACTTAGAAAGAAAAAAGAGAACTTCAGAAAACTTCCTACATTCAAAGATAAAGATCTTTTAAAATATTGTTCCATATGAAAACTTTTAATTTTTTAATTAAAGATCAATGACCCAAATGCCTCTTTACCTTAAGAGAAGTGCTAATAATAACGGTGGTTGTCCATTTTATTTTTTCTTTTCCGCCACTTTCAGCCATTTGCCTGTCTTTGGATCAATCCAACTTCTAATGGTGCCACAATCTGAGAAAATTAAAAGCAAAACACAGAAATGTTTGTTTGATGAGTAAGTAAATTAAAGATAGAAATAAAACTAGTGGGCCGGGCACGGTGGTGCAATCCTGTAATCACAGCACTTTGGGAGGCTGAGGTGAGAGGACTGCCTAAGCTCAGGGATTTAAGAACAGCCTGGGCAACTTGGCTAGACCTTGTCTCTACAGTAAAACAAAAAATTAGCCAAGTGTGGTAGCGCATGCCTATAGTTCCAGGTACTTGGAAGGCTGAGGTGGAAGCATTACCTGAGCCCAACAGGTGGCGGTTGCGGTGGCTGTGAGCATGCCACTGCACTCCAGCCTAGGCGACAAAATGAGACTCTGACTCAAAAACAACAACAATAAAACAAAACAAAAAACTAGGGTATTGAAGACATTTTAAAGAATATTTGAACATCAAAATTTGACAACAGAAAAAGTATCTGTCTTATTTTGCTTATTTAATACCATGGTTCCTATCAACAATTATCAAACGCACTGGTCTCCATTTCAGAGCATGAACTTAAAGAGGACTTGTATCAAGAACTGCAGAAGGTCTGAGGTTTTATCCTGCTTGCAAGTTAAAAAGCTAGCTGCCAGAATTTTCATAGATACAGGTAAATGACACAAGACTCAGACACAAAGAACCATTTTTTATTCACAGCAATACCAGTATAGTCAGAGTATCCTCATTTTCTTGCACCAGTTCCCCAAGCCCAATTACCACAGGCTGGGACAAAGGCCAGGTGACATGTGCGCACACAGTGGTCTGCATTACAGGAAAGGAGCCCATAGCTTAGGAAACCTCAATCTTTTATAAGTAAACCTTCCTTCTCCTATGGAGGAAAATACTATGTCTCACAAAGCAATTCACTATGCAAAAAACATTCTTGAAAAGATAGTCCAGGGATGGCACTTGAATATGTGCATTTCTAACACATGCACAAGTGATGCTGATAATGCTGGTCTGGAGACCACACTTTACAAAGCACGGCACTGAGGGAAAAGAGTATTCTGGGGAATAACAACAAAGCACTATATAATGGCAACAAGGTAAACGGTAAAAGAAAACTGCATGAAAGGGAATTTCAAGGAACTCAGTGTGCTGAAGTTTATAGGGTATGCATCTGAGGTCGGAAGGAAAAACATAAAATTAATTACTGTAAACCTGTAGCATAAAATTGAATCTCATGGTGCTCCAAATTTGGTAATTTTCTGATTACAATGAGACTGAAAACCCTTAAACCACGTTTTCACTTCTGTGAAATGCTTGTCTCTTGCTCATTTTTCTATTAGTTTCTTTTTTTCTTAGTCATTTGTAGGATTTCCTTTTAATTGTAAATATCAGTCCTTTATCAGCTATGTGTGTTTTCTCCCGGTTTATGACTTGTCTATTCCCCTTCTTTAGGGTAATTCTCAATACACACAAATAACTTCCAATTTAGTAAAAAATGTATCAATCCTTTAATTTATAGTTAGTGCTTTCTGATTCTTATTTAAGAAATCCTTCCCTATCCCAAAGTCATAGGTATTCTCTTTAACTGTTTTCTAAATTTTTATTCTGGCTTTTCACATTTAGGTCTTTAATCTACCTGGATTTTTGTAGAGAATCTGAAGTATGAATTTGATTTCATCTTTAAAAAAATATTTAGTTATCCCAACACTATGTATTTAGTAGTTCCTCCTTCCCCTGATCATTTGCAGTTTTTATTTTTATTTATTTGTTTGTTTGTTTGTTTTTGAGTTAGAGCCTCACTCCTTCGCCCAGGCTGGAGTGTCGTGGCTGGGCTCTGGAAATCCTTCCACCTCAGCCTTCTGAGTAGCCAGAACTGTAGTTTTTAATTACCCCATTTTATTAAGAGTTTTGATATCTACATGGGAAGTCCCTACGTTGTGTTCTTGTTTCCTTGTGCTGTATCCATTCTTAAGTTTTTTTTCTTCCCCTAGAAATTTTAGAATCACCATGTCAGTTGCTTTTAGCATTAAACTGCTGCATCCTCCAAATTCTTGGTCTCCACCTTTCCCAGAAAGTTTATAATCCCTTAGGTGATTAAAAGATTATTTCCCAAAGAAACTGGATAACCATATGGAAAAAACCTCCACACACTAACCTGGGAGATCACCTACTATGAAATGGCTGGTTTGCTGCCTAATCACTGCACTGCAAACTCCACCATTACAGGAAGTTACACAGCCATTTCTGAAAACTATATAAAGAAAATGCTTATGACACAATGTTAAATGAAAATAATAAGGTATAAATTCTAAATATATTAAGAGATCTACCATACCCATAGATGGGAAGACTCAGCTACATAAATAATTTAGTTTTTTTCCAAATTGCTGTACAGATAAAAATGCAATTTTAATGTTAAGAAGTCTTCTCTCTGCTTTACAACTTTCCAACTTAAATCTCTCATTTGCTTTTTTTTGTTTGGTTGATTTTTTGTTTTTGGTGAGAAAGTAGGATTTATTGAGAAAACAGAAAAGCTCCCACAGTGGGAGGGAACCTGAAGGGGTAACCCTCCCATTTGCTTTTTTTACTCCTCCCAATATCTTTGTTTTTGTGAGTTAATTTTTAAAAATTTTCTACTATCATTTCAGCAGTGTTTTGAAAAGGAAAGAGGATAAACAAATGAGGTCAATCTATCATTTTAAAGTAGAAGCCTGTGGTATTTTGTTTCCCAATTAATTCCTTCTTTATATCCACTGCCATCACCTACAGATACCATTTCTATTCTAAACTCTACCAAAACTCACTCAGGTTTCTC